AAGAGCAATATTCCGTGTCATTATTACAAGAAGAATGGCCATATGCAGGCTGATTGTTGGAACAAACAAAAAAGAAAAAATCATGCAAGCCTTGCTGAACAAGAAGATGAACAGCCTATACTTTTCATGTCGTTCAAAAGTAAAGAAAACTCCAAATCTGTTTGGTATTTGGACAGTGGCTTTTCAAATCACATGACAGACATCAAATCATCTTTCAAAGAGTTAGATGAGTTGCACAAGCTGAAGGTGAAGCTTGGAAATGACAAAGACGTTCAGGTGGAAGGAAAAAGGTATTGTGGCTGTCCAGAATAGTCATGGTATTAAGGATAAGATGTGTATTATATTATTGTTCTAGCACACGATCTGTTAAGTATTGGAAAAACAGTGGAAAACAATTGCTCTGTTTTCTTTGATGAGGATGTGTGTGTCATTAAGGATAAGAAGTCTGGTCACACACTAGCAGTGGTGAGGATGACATCAAAAAATATTTACCTATTAGAGATGTCTTTTGTTGAAGCAAGTGTTTTGGTGGCTAAGGTTTCAGAGGATTCAAAGCTGTGGCACTTATGGTATGGGCATCTACATGAGAATGGGTTAAAGGTGCTTAACCAGAAAATTATGATTTCTGGTTTACCAAAGATTGATTTTCTTGAGTTGTGTGAAGGTTGTATATTGGGAAACAAACACGTAGGTTGTTTCTATTGGGTAAATCAAGAAGAGCATCTATATTTCTTGAGATTGGTCATGTTGATTTATGTGGTCCTATGCAGACTACATCTCTTGGAGGCAGAAAGTATTTTCTGATGTTGACAGATGACTACAGCAGGATAAATTGAGTTTATTTTATGGAGACTAATAGAGAAGCATTTGAAATTTTTAAGAAATTCAAGGCACTTATGGAGAAACAAAGTGAATAGAAAATCAAAAGTGTTGCACACTGATAGAGGAGGAAATTTCACATCTACTGAGTTCAACAAATTCTGTGAGAATGAAGGGATACATCATGAGCTTACTACAACTTACACACCTGAGCAAAATGGTGTAGCAGAAAAGAAAAACAGAACTGTGGTGGAGATGGCCAGAAGCATGTTAAAACAGAAGAATATGCAAAATCATTTATGGAAATAGAGTGTTAGGACATCAGTGTATTTGTTGAATATTTCACCTACAAAGCAGTTCCAAATAGAACCTCATATGAAGCATGGTGTTGAAGAAAACATGGGATAATCATTTAAGAGTTTTTGGTAGTGTTGTATTTCTCTTATTGACTCTCTGATGCTACTAGGGTTTATGTTGCAGGAGAAGTTTTAAACTTGTAAACTCTAGTAAACAAGTGCATAGCTGTGCAAAGTTGTACTTAGAGTGTCGATCCACATGAAGGTTGTTTTATCTGCAAAAACTTTAAAATAGGATTAGTTGACAGATTAATAGACCAAGGGAGTTTTTATAGGTTTTTTTGGTGTCACAGAAAAAGAAAAAGTAAAATAAAAATAAAAAAACTTCCTAGACCTAATCTATATAGGCTTAGGGGATGCTCGATTCATACTAGGGTCCTAAAGCTCATAGGGAGATTAGCCTACTGATGTAAGATCGGGTGTAGTGTGAGTTGGATCCTTGTAACTGGCCTCAAGGCTCTCTCTACTCGGACACGAGATGAATGAAGTGTGGGGAAGATGGTGACTTAAACAACTGGCCTCAAGGCTCTCTTTGTTTAAGTCCAATGAACGAACTCGGGGATGATAGTAACCGGTGGATCGAAGGACGCCACAAAGCTTATGATCTAGCTTTGATAAGTCGGAAGAACACAAGGACAAGGGGCAGCCGCACAAGTCTTTGTAGCTCTAGGGTTTTGCTAAAGAAAATGCTCTCTTTATTGATAATAGGTAAAAACGTGAGCTACAAAGCTGCATATGGGACTTTATAAATAGTCCGTCAGCTGTGACCTTCTAGGGTCGACAAATCAAAAAAAAGGAAAGCTCAAAACGCAACAGACTCTGTAAAAAGTAAAGAGAACAATTCGATAACCCTAAGAACAATCTAAAAAGGAAAATTAACTAAAGGAACTAACGATAAAACCTGCAAAACAAGAAAAGGAAACTTTGTTAATGAATTCAAATTTAAAGACTCACATTGCTTTAGAGGTGGTTCGAAGACGGGTTGTCTATGTCTTGAACTTGAGAAATGACGAGCAATGTTGGGCCAAGGTAGGTCTTTAGTAGCGGCCACGTTTCCTCGTCTAAACTTGGGCTTGGTGCCTTCACGTCCACGGCATATTCTTCTTGGCTTGTAATCTTGAGTTGCTCCATTGTCTTGGTGAGTTCTTTATGTCCTTCTTGCATCATTAGAGCCTCCACAGCTTCATTGAACCCTTCCCTCATGTTTCTCGTGCCTGACCTAGTCCTTGGTGGCTCGTACATGGTAGGAATCTTCAAGTCTTGGGGTTGCTCCGAGCTAGTGTCCTCATCATTCCCTCCCGCTTGAGAAGGTTCTGACCTCAGAACTTGTTCATCTGCGTGGAAGGGAGCTAAGTCAGATATATTGAAACTAGAAGAGATATTAAACTCACCTGGTAACTCTAGGCGGTAAGCGTTGTTGTTGATACGCTCGAGCACTTTGAATGGTCCATCTCCTCGCGGTGAAAGCTTGGATTTGCGTTGGTTAGGGAACCTCTCCGGCCGCATGTGAAGCCAAACCCAATCTCCTGGCTTGAAGGTGAGCTCTTTGCGTCCCTTATCTGCTTGTTTCTTGTATTGTTCAGTCTTTTTCTCAATGTTTTCTTTGACCTTTTGATGCAGCTTCCGAACTGTCTCGGCTTTGCTTTCTCCATCTTGATTAGCATACTCCAGTGGTGGTAGTGGTGAAAGATCTAGAGGAGTGAGTGGCTTAAAGCCATATGCAACTTCAAATGGACAAAACTTGGTAGCCGAGTGAGTAGCACGGTTATAAGAGAACTCAATAAAGGGAAGACACTCTAACCAGTTCTTTAAATTTTTACCAACCGTGGCCCTTAAGAGGGTGGAGAGAGTTCGATTAACAACCTCAGTTTGCCCATCCGTCTGAGGATGGCAAGTCGTTGAGAAGAGTAGCTTGGTCCCGAGTTTTCTCCACAATGTCCTCCAAAAGTGGCTTAAAAACTTGGTATCACGATCAGATACTATAGACCTTGGTAACCCATGTAAGCGTACCACCTCCTTGAAGAACAAGTCAGCGGTTTGGGAAGCATCATTTGTCTTTGAACATGGAATGAAATGCGCCATTTTTGAGAACCGGTCCACCACTACAAATATGGAGTCCTTGTTTCGGATCTTCGGAAGACCTAAAACAAAATCCATAGAAAGATCTACCCAAGGTAGGTTAGGAATAGGTAAGGGTGTGTAAAGAACGTAGGGATGTGACCTGGATTTGGATTTGAGGCAAGTGACGCATTTGGAGCAGAACCTCTCGACGTCTCTCTTGAGGTGGGGCCAAAAGAAATGCTCCACAAGTATGCTCAGTGTCTTGTCTACCCCAAAGTGACCCATGAGACCCCCTCCATGTGATTCTCGGATCAGCAGCTCCCTCATTGATCCTTGGGGTATGCACAAGCGCTTATCTCTGAACAAGAACCCTTCGTGCTGATGAAAAGATCCCACTACGGCTTCGGCACTGGCTTGGTAAACCTCTCCAAAGTCGGGATCTCCTTCGTATTGTTCCTTGATATGCTCAAACCCCATCACCTTGGCCTCCATGGTGGTGATAAGCGCATATTGCCTTGAGAGTGCATCGGCAACTATATTCTCTTTCCCCTTTTTGTACTTGATTATGTAGGGAAAAGTCTCGATGTACTCTAGCCATCTCGCGTGCCTCCTCTTGAGTGATGTTTGCCCCCTTAGATGCTTAAGTGTCTCATGATCGGTGTGAATGACAAATTCCTTGGCTAACAAGTAGTGTTGCCAAGTTTCCATGGATCTCACAAGGGCATAAAATTCTTTGTCATAGGTAGGGTAGTTTAGTGTAGCTCCGTGTAGCTTCTCACTGAAATAAGCCACGGGTCGCCCACCTTGAGTCAGCACCGCACCAATACCTAATCCTGAAGCATCACATTCGATTTCAAAAGTCTTGTTAAAATCAGGCAAAACTAGAACAGGTGCATTAGTTAAATGAACTTTAAGAGTTTGGAAAGCTTTATCCTGTGCTGGCCCCCAAGAAAAGGCCACAACTTTCTTGATCACAGCAGTGAGAGGGCGGCTATGGTGCTAAAGTCTTTAACAAACCGCCTATAGAAGCTTGCTAGCCCATGGAAGCTTCGAACATGTCCTATGGTCGTGGGTGTGGGCCATTCTTGAATCGCCTTTATCTTCTCTTGATCAACTCGTAATCCCTGAGAGCTTACCACAAAGCCTAAAAACACAAGCTCATTAGTGCAAAAGTTGCACTTCTTGAGGTTCGCATAAAGACCTTCTTGACGAAGAGTCTCTAATACTTGCTCAAGGTGCCGAATATGGTCCGCAAAACACTTACTATAGATTAATATATCATCAAAATACACAACTATAAACTTACTAATGTAGGCCCTTAAGATGTGATTCATTAACCTCATAAAAGTGCTTGGCGCGTTAGTGAGGCCAAAAGGCATGACGAGCCACTCATATAGACCCTGCTTGGTCTTGAAAGCGGTTTTCCACTCGTCTCCCTGCTTCATCCTCACTTGATGGTAGCCACTGCGAAGGTCCACCTTTGAGAAGACCGTGGCCCCGTGTAGTTCATCCAACATATCATCAAGCCGAGGTATAGGGTGGCGGTATTTGATGGTTATGTTGTTTATAGCCCTACAATCCACACACATTCTCCAAGTCCCATCCTTCTTGGGTACTAGAAGAACCGGGACAGCACAGGGGCTGAGGCTCTCGCGTATATACCCCTTAGACATTAAGTCCTGAACCTGCTTCTCAAGTTCCTTGGCCTCGGTGGGATTCATGCGATATGCTGGTCTATTGGGAAGAGCAGCTCATGGCACTAGATCAATCTGGTGTTCTATTCCCCTGAGAGGTGGTAGCCCAGCTGGAATCTCCTCCGGGAACACGTCGCTGAACCTGTCTAACAGGCCTCGGGTGGTAGCTCAGACTCACCGGTTCCTGCAAGAAGGGCCTCTCGGAAGACCATTAGTAGCACAGGCATATGGTGATCTATAGCTTTAGAAACATCAGTTGAGGTGATAAATAAGTTAGTCTTACTTACCTGGGAGTCCTTTGCACACTTAAGTTGCATCTCATGGACTTGAGCCGGTGTGAGTGGAGCAAGTGTGAACTTACGTTTATCATGAGTGAAGACGTAATGGTTGGTTCGGCCATTGTGGAGAGTCTCCTTGTCAAATTGCCAAGGCCTTCCTAACAGAAGATGGCCGGCTTGCATAGGCACCACATCACACTCCACTTGATCGCTATACTTACCGATGCTAAAAGGAATGGTAACCTTCTCGGTGATCTTTAGTTCGGTCTCATCGTTAAGCCATCTGAGTCTATAGGGCCTAGGGTGCTTACTTGTCTTTAAACCTAGCTTAACAACCATAGTCTTGCTGGCTACGTTAGTACAAGAACCCCCATCGATGATTAAACTACATACCTTGTTGTGCACGGTGCACCTGGTGTGAAATATGTTTTCCCTCTGTACGGTTTCTGGTTCAACTATGGCACTGAGGGCTCTTCTGATCACTAGCATCTCACCCGAATCAGGGTATTCGATGTCAGTGTCAAGCTCGGCATCGTCCTCCTCGTCCTGTTCATCTTGAGACTCGTACTCGCCGTTTGAGGTCATGATCATAGCTCTTTGATTAGGACAGTCTCTCGCCATATGCCCTCGCCCCTGACACTTAAAACAAATGATATCTCTCGATCTAGAAGTGCTTGTAACCTTACCCGCGTCTGGCCGATTGCTTTTGAATGGATCAGCTGGCGGCTTCTGATATTTGGAGTTGGTCTCCACCGCTTTACCCTTGTCTAACGTTCTAGGCGGTTGCTGGCTCCACGTTTGGTTGTGCTTGGTGCGATTGGTGGCCGTCGTTTTGCGCTTAATGTGCTGCTCAGCCTGAATGGCTAAGTGTAGGAGCTCAGAAATATCATGGTAGGGTTGCCTCTCCACCTTTCTCGCAATACGGTCATGAAGGCCATCAAGGAATTGAGCCATGAGGTTCTCCTCGGTATCTTCTTGTTCTAGCTTGTTCCGGAGGGTCTCAAATTCCTCAAAATATTCTTCAACTGACTTGTGACCCTGCACCATCTTTCTAAATCGCTTTTGTAAGTCTCTATGGAAATAAGGTGGTACATACCTCCTTCGGAGATTGTATCTCATCGCGGCCCATGTACTGATTTGTTCGTAGCGATGCCTCCTCCTCTCAGCCACATCTCGGTCCCACCAAGACAAGGCATGGTCGGTGAGTTGAGCCGCTGCTAAGGCCACTCTCCTCTGATCGTTGTAGCCGTAGTACTCAAAAATGTATTCCATGCGTCTTTCCCATTCTAGATTAGCATCGGGATCCACCTTGCCTGCAAAAGTAGGAGCCGTTAGCTTGATATCCTTGTTTCCCTGTCTATTACCTTCGTCGTCTCTGATTCGGCCGCGGTTGACAGGGTCTCGTAGCCGTTGGTGTGCTCTTAAGTCAGGAGGGTCTTGTCTCCTTTGATTGTTGTTCACATCTCCTTCCTCTTCAGCCATGTTCTCATCTCCTTGGCCCTGTTGTGGTTGTGGTGGTGGCACTTGAATTGGCCTGACGGCCTCTCGCCTTGGTACCTCCAACCGTCCAACCCTCTCCTCCATACGGCCTAGTTGAGCGGCCATGTCTTGTCACATTGCCGCAATGGCTTGCAAGATAGTGTCTTGGGCCGGTACAGCTTGTTCCTCCATGAATCTATAACTCAACAGAAACAACACTAGATCACATGCAACTGAGGGTGTTTAAACTATTGAACTTGGCGAAACTTAATGCAATGCTCAAAACTATAGAAGACGGGGGTATATAGATATGCTTTTTTGTTTTTTTTTTTTGAATTTTGGATGCAATAACAAATGAGTTCGACTAAATAGCTAGTTGCACAACATGTTTTTATGACTTTTCTTTGGTCTTAAATGCAAAAGGTAAGCTAAGAAAACTAGATGCGAGTATGTTCTATTCTTTTTTTTTTTAACACGGTAACTACTCAACTTAAAACAAATCAAAGAGACTTAAACACAAAATGAAAAGAAGGGAACAGATCAGATAAATATCACCTGACGCAGAACCTTTCGGCTCTGATACCAAAAATGATATAAGATCGGGTGTAGTGTGAGTTGGATCCTTGTAACTGGCCTCAAGGCTCTCTCTACTCGGACACGAGATGAATGAAGTGTGGGGAAGATGGTGACTTAAACAACTGGCCTCAAGGCTCTCTTTGTTTAAGTCCAATGAACGAACTCGGGGATGATAGTAACCGGTGGATCGAAGGACGCCACAAAGCTTATGATCTAGCTTTGATAAGTCGGAAGAACACAAGGACAAGGGGCAGCCGCACAAGTCTTTGTAGCTCTAGGGTTTTGCTAAAGAAAATGCTCTCTTTACTGATAATAGGTAAAAACGTGAGCTACAAAGCTGCATATGGGACTTTATAAATAGTCCGTCAGCTGTGACCTTCTAGGGTCGACAAATCAAAAAAAAGGAAAGCTCAAAACGCAACAGACTCTGTAAAAAGTAAAGAGAACAATTCGATAACCCTAAGAACAATCTAAAAAGGAAAATTAACTAAAGGACCTAACGATAAAACCTGCAAAACAAGAAAAGGAAACTTTGTTAATGAATTCAAATTTAAAGACTCACATTGCTTTAGAGGTGGTTCGAAGACGGGTTGTCTATGTCTTGAACTTGAGAAATGACGAGCAATGTTGGGCCAAGGTAGGTCTTTAGTAGCGGCCACGTTTCCTCGTCTAAACTTGGGCTTGGTGCCTTCACGTCCACGGCATATTCTTCTTGGCTTGTAATCTTGAGTTGCTCCATTGTCTTGGTGAGTTCTTTATGTCCTTCTTGCATCATTAGAGCCTCCACAGCTTCATTGAACCCTTCCCTCATGTTTCTCGTGCCTGACCTAGTCCTTGGTGGCTCGTACATGGTAGGAATCTTCAAGTCTTGGGGTTGCTCCGAGCTAGTGTCCTCATCACCTACTCTCAAATGTCCTAATCGATTTTTGAGAATCTTATAATTAGCTTACGGTCGTATGTCTAATCGATTTCTAAGTATCTATGTAGAACTAGAATATACACTTGTATGGCTAGCCAATTGTCGTCACCATAACCAAATAATCACTCAAACTCGACCATTAGCTTTTGTCTCTAGCCATGAGTGAGATCATGCATTAACTAAACTGAATTTATTCTTTCTCACATCTTCTCAGGTAGATTTTGTCTCCTACAGCGACCATGTTCTTCTAAAGCTATGTATGGCAATCTGATACATCACTGTCGTGGCTCTAATTAAACCTAAGTTCAGAGATTAGTTCATGATTCTAACCTCATGCATTAGGTACAACTTAGAAGAGATGAGATCTAGAATATGGCTGAGAAAATAACAATCCTAATCGAATAGATTGATCCTCATCGATGCATTAAAAGAAAAGCATAATAGATAGATGCATAAACTGAAATAGATAAATAAAAAAAGATGTAACATGGGTTCAAAGGAAGAATCCCTATCTCCTTGACTTAAACCTAATAAATAAAAGTTTATGGCTCAAAAACTCATTACAGGAGCATACACCCGAAATAAGGAAAAATTGCTCAAATGACCTTCTTGGTGGAGAAAAATACGGTAATAATCTCGTTATAACAAAATTAGTTAATTCAATTTTTTTTTTTGATACAAAACATGGTGGATAACTATTTTATCCTTCCATTTTTTTGAAATTACGATCCAAACATGGCTGAATCGAACTCGAATTGAATTTTTTGGATCTAACCCGAAAATTTTAACCTAAAGCGACATAACTCCTCTATTTACCCTATTTACACTCTATTTTCTTCATTTTCGTTTTTACAGTCACATTTTCTCAAAAAGTTTAAACGAAGGGGAGAGAGTAAGTTTTGAAATTCAAACGACGAAGAGGACAACTAGGTAAAGCTAAGGGATACAAGCAGTCAATTCATCAATTTCTTAGCTGGGTAAGTCTCAATTTTGTGCCTATTACTTCTTCTTCACTGAGATTGATAATTGCATGTCGATTATATCTTTTACATGGACATAGGATGGCACGGAAAAAGCCACCAAATATTGAATTGCGAGATGAAATTATCGAAGAAGAACAAAATCATGAAGAAGTAGAACAGAATCAGGAAGAAGTATAACAAAATCAGGAAGAAGAGGAATCCGACGATGGAATTATTCAAAGAAAAATAGAAGGAGACAGAACCCGAAGGGGTTGCTGGTGGAAAGAAGGAGACAGAACCAGAAGGGGTTGCTGGTGGACAGAAGGAGACAGAAATCTGTGCTGATACTTTGGAGAAGAAACTCGAAGGCATTACTGATGGAGAGAAGGAGAAACCTAAGAGGATCAGGCGAAGGCGTGGTTGTACAATGAGTCATTAAGTTGATTTCGACACTGACTCATCTGAACAGGGTATAAAGAGGAAACGCCAAGTAGTGAAATCAAAATACAAGTTATCACCTTACACCGAGGGGAAGCAGAAGGATGTGAAGAAGGAAAAGAATGAGAAGAAGGAAAAGGAGAAGCAACCAAAGACTGGGTAATACTCGTGCGTGCACATGTTTATTTTTGTCTTATGGTGGTACTTGGATTCGTACAACTGGTATCACTATGTATAACTTTTTTAGTTATGGTGTTTTATTTTGTAAATCTGGTAATACTATTACTCAAGTTTCAGCATTTGATTTCGTAGTATTGGTAAAACTAGATATAAGAGTTATTTTTTGAAACCATTAAAACATTTAGTACAATATATTCATAAAGCTAAAAATCAAAACTAACAAGCAAATATTTAATTATGTAATCAAAATTATATTTTAAGAAAAACTAAAATTAAGACAAAGAGATAGTGGTATATTAAAGTTCTTCTTTAAAACCATTAAAAAATTTAGTACAGCATATCCATAAAGCCAAAAATCAAAACTAACAAGCAAATATTCAAATAATCAAAATTATTTTATTTTTTAAAAAATCTCTTGAGTGAAAAAATAGGATATTATATCAAAGTTCTTCTATAAAATCATTAAAAAAATTTAGTAAAATATATCCATAAAGCCAAAAAATCAAAACTAACAAGCAAATATTTAATTATGTAATCAAAAATATATTTTATGAAAAACTACAATTAAAATAAAGAGATAGTATGGTATATTAAAATTTTTCTTTAAAACCATTAAAACATTTAGTACAACATATCTATAAAACCAAAAATCAAAACTACAAGCAAATATTCAAATAATCAAAATTATTTTATTTAAAAAAAAAACTAAAGTCATGAGTGAAAAAATAGCATATTATATGAAAGTTCATCTATAAAACCATTAAAAATTTAGTACAACATATCCAAAAATCCAAAAATCTAAACTAACAAGCAAATATTTAATTTATGTAATCAAATTTTATTAGAAAAACTAAAATTAAAATCAAAATTATATTTTAGGGTTTGAGAGGGAAGAAATGGTCTGGACATCGATTTCGCGAAATGAGAAGAGAGGGAAGGTAATAAAGTGGTCCGAATAAAATAGATTGACCCAGCAAAACACATGCGCCATTTTTTAGCACATGTATGCCCCTTTTCTTTAGTGAGAGCCGCCAACATTTTTCTTAGTATTTCCGAAATATTTTAGTTACACCAATTTCCAAATAGTAGTACTTTTTGGTGTTTTCAAATTTAATTAGTATTACCTAGTCCAAAAAATTAATATCTTAGTATTACAGATGATTTTAGATAATAAGAGTATGCTTCCTAAGATTCTATGCATTAATATTAAGTAAAACTTATTTTATGTGTATTTTAGTTCATGAAGTAGCTAATATAAACAAAGTGATCATACAAGTATAAGGTGTTTTTTGTGAAAATCTTATAATAAAACCATGTTTTTTTGTGAAAGTCTTATAATAAAACCGTTATGTTATAAATTTTATTTGAGTTCGTAAAAATATTTTAAATCTATTATAACTATTTAAGGTGCTATAATTTTTGTTTTTTCGTCTGTATTTAGATTTACTTAAAATTTTATTTTTCATAATTTAACAACTTCAATCAATAATACTAATTTTACTTTATTGTGTTGGTTATACCAGTATTATCAGTTATATCGCATTAGTTAAAATATACTAGTATTACAAAGAAAAACCCAGTATTACATTATTATCTAAAAGAGATACACATAGTTATACCAAGTAGTCTACTAGTTGTCCCAAGATGCAAATTAACATAAAACAACATGAGCAAGTTAGTCGCTGCTTCCATGATCACCCAATTAAGCCTTCAAGTACACCACCTCTTTTTTTTCTTCTTCGAGGTTTTCCAACCGACGGAAATGATTTGTTATTCTTCTTCGTTTTTTTTGGTATATGGAGGAGGTATGACAGTAATAGCTTTCACATCCTCGGGAACATTCAATTCAGAAAAATGAGGTACTGGATAAATTGTCATGTGATATGCCAATGACCATTGTTCCATGAAATAATACATGGAGCATATTCAAACAAATATTCAAATAATCAAAATTATTTTATTTAAAAAAAAAAAGAAAACTAAAATTATGAGTGCAAAATAGCGTATTATATCAAAGTTTTTATATAAAACCATTAAAAATTTAGTACAAC